CATGTGGTGCTGGGGGATTGAACCGCAGTCCCTGTGCTTTGCCAAGCTTGTTCCAAGTAGGTGCTTTAGACCACTGAGCCATCTCACCAGCCCTCATTTATTTTTTTGAGACAGAGTCTCATTATATAGTTTAGGCTGGCCATGAACTCACTGTGTAGTCCTGGATGGCCTCAAACTCATGGCAATCCTACTGACTCAGCCTCCCAAGTGCTGGGATTATAGGAGTGCACCACTATACCCAGCTAAATAGCTCTCTACTGACCAGTGAAGAGTTGCTGGTTCATAATGGAACTGTAGACTTATTTATTTATTTATATTTACATATTTAGTACAAGGTCTCCCTACATAGATCAGACTCATAATGATCCTCCTGTTTTCAGTCTCCTAAGTGCTGGCGTTTCAGGTGTGTGCCACCACACCCAGTCTCTATACTGGTACTGTAGTTCTAAGTGAATATTCAGCATTTTGTTTGGGAGGCCACCATTCTGATACAAGAAGGTAAAAACCAATCAGCTCAGTGAGTCGAATTGCATGTTGTTTTCTCCTGCATTTGAGTTTTTACCTACTTGTGGGTGAAGGGCAATGGAAAACTAGTCTGTTAGCTTGATGCATCTGTGAAAATCACCATGGAAATTCGAGAGATGCATTAAAGTAAGACATATTGATGCCCAATGGAAGAACAACATTCCAGAATTGGAAGTGAATTTCCCAGGATGTTATCTTGAGGTGGTCATTGGATCATGATCCAAGGAGTAGAGGTAGAATACAGCAGCAAAGTAGATATCTAAACATATTACTCTGGGGCAGAGTCCCCAGAGAGAAGGTTACCACATAGCTACCTAATAGATTATTCTTTATTTATTTATTGTACTAAGGATTCAACTCAGGCCCTTTGCACTGAAATACATCCAAAGCTTGTCTTTATTTATTTATTTATTTATTTTGCTAATTTTAAGGCAACAACTTGCTCTTTCCAGCTGGCATCGAGCAATGGGCATCTCTGGGGGCAACAGGCACAAGTGCCGCAAGACCAGAGGCAAAAGAAAATCCTATCACAAGAAGCAGAAGTATGAGTTGGGGCACCCTGCTGTCAGCACTAAGATTGGCTCCCACCGAATACACACAATCTGAGTTCCAGGAAGGCAACAAGAAGTACTGAGCCCTGTGGCTAGATGTGGGAAACTTGCCCTGGGGCTCTGAGTGTTGTACTTGAAAAACAAGGATCATTGATGTTGCTTACAATCCATTTAATAATGAGCTGGTCTGCACTAAGACCCTGGTGAAGAACTGCATTGTGCTCATTGACAGCATGCTGTACTGACAGTGGTACAAATCCAACTATGGAGAAGGAAATTTTTTTTTGGGGGGGGGGGTTTATCTTAGGCTGCCTTAAGGGTGGGTCTGGCACATTTGTGGAGCTGGGGATAGAACCACAGTCCCCTGCTCCTGACTGAGTTTGCCCAAGCAGGCTGTTTAAACAACGGAGCTAACCTGCAAGCACCGTTTTGGGTTTTTTTTTTCAATTTTTTTTCCTTTTTTTTTTTTTTTTTTTTTTTTTTTTTTTTTTTGCCGTACCGGGGACCCTGCGCTTGCCAGGTAGGCGCTTATTCTACTGAGCTATTTCCCTGGCCCATGAATCCCACAGTGCACTGCCCCTGGGCCGAAAAAAGGGGGCCAAGCTGACTCCTGAGGAGGAGATTTTAAACAAAAAATGACCAAAGAAAATTCAAAAGAAGTATGATGAAAGAAAAAAGAACGCCATAATTAGCAGTCTTCTGGAAGAGCAGTTCCAGTAGGACAAGCTTCTTGCCTGCACTGCGTCAAGATCAGGCCAGCGTGGTGAAGCAGATGGCTATGTGCTAGAGGGCAAAGAGCTGGAGTTCTCTCTGAGAAAAATCAAGGCCTGGAAAGGCAAATAAACCTTCCCTCCTGGTTTAACTCATGAAAAAAAAAAGTGTTTATTGTTCCAAAAAAAAAAAATTAAGGCAACAACTTGTTAAGTCACTAAGTTGCTCTGGCTGGGCTCAAATTCAGGCATGGCAAGCTTCATAGATTGTATTGAACTAATGGGAATAGCACTGGGGGTAGTACACATGGGTCCTGACAGGAGTAGACACTTATTTTGGCTAGGCTTTGTATAATCAATGAGCATTGAAAATGTAAAAAAACAACAACAACAAAAACCCAACTATTAAATAATTGAAACAAAAGGTACAGTGTTATTTTGCTGCGCCAATTTAGTTAAGCTTTTGAACTTCTCAAGTTGATACAATCAGTCAACCATTACAAGTGATACAGTAAAAATATATCTGATCTTTGTCTTTATTTCATGGCAGAGTTTCAAAAATCTCCAGAACTTCCGGAATGATGAGAATCTCTCTGCTTTATTAACAAAGTGTACAAAGCTGTTTTACTTGCTCAGTCTGGTGAGACAGAACCTGTACACAAGTTACATGAAGCGGGATTACTACTTAGAGACAGGCAACCAGGGACAACAGAAGCCTAGGACTCATTGCAAACCAGTTCCCACCAAGGCTGAGGAAAGTCCAAATGGCTAAGATCTTGTCTGTGTGTGCTGCACTTGCACCATGGAACTCAGGATAGAAATCATCTTAGGTTTCATACCTGGGGGGAGCAAGGAGTTGCTGAGATAAAGCATTGAAGGACATACTATTTCTAGGGAAAATGGAGCACAGAGCACAGAGTGCCTTCATATCACAGGATGTTGCATTCACAGCTCATTCATTTTTCTTCCCAGATCATTCCACAAGTATTTTTGAGAGCCATATACAAGCAAGCAGGGAAAACTGAGTTAGTCCAAGGCCACCTTACTGTCCTGCATGTGATTATCGGCTGGGCCTCTAGATTGCTACAGGATGGAGAAGGCACCTGACATTTCTTTCTTTCTTTTACATTTTAAATGTCAGAAATCCAACCATGTGATTGGGGGCTGGAATTGTCAGTCTTTGTCCTCAAACCTCTGGAGAAATGAATTCAGTTACATGACCACTAATGATCTAACTGGTCATGCCTACATAACGAAATCTCCCAGTCTCAATTGCCACCTCATTGCAGGGGCAGGGATGGGATGGCAGGCCCAGGAATCGAACCTCCAGCCATCCGCTGAGCTATTTTGGCCTGCTCCTTCACACTTCTTTATAATATCCCAGAAGCGTAATAAAATTAACAGTGGTGCCAGTTGCACATACCTATACATGTACTAAAAACACTAAGGAGAAATGTTTTTGAGAAGTTATTGAATTATACTCTATATGCCAATCCTATCAGTGATCATTTTGTTTTGTTTATTTAGATAGGATCTCTCTATGTAGTCCAGTCTGGCCATGAATTCATGGCAATCCTCCTGCCTCAGCCTCCTGAGTGCTGGGATTACAGGTATGCACAACCATGCCTTGCTGAATCACACTTTAAGTGGGTAAATTTTATGGTATATTAATTAATATCAAAAAATTAAATAAATAATGATACCTTTTAGAAATATATACTGAAATATAGTGATAAAATAGAATGCTTGGGAATTGCTTTAAAATAATCCACTGGGAGCCGGGCATGGTGGCACATGCCTGTAATCCCAGCACTTGTTGTGAGTTCAAGGCCAGCCTGAACTGCATAGCAAGACCCTGTCTCAAAAATAAGGAAAGAGTAGATTAAGTGCTTGCCTGGCAAGCGCAAGAGTCTGAGTTCAATCCCCGGTCCAAAAAAAAAAAAAAAAAAGGTAAGAAAGAAAGAAAGAATCCACTGGGAATGTACAGTGGAACAGAAGAAATAATACTGGCCAGAAGTTGGTAATTGCTGAAACCAAGCATCTGGTGGTTCATTATACTATTTTTTCCACTATTACTTATTTGAAAGTTTTCATAAAAGTGCTGGGCATGGTGGCTCACATCTGTGGTATAGCACTCAGAAGGCTAGGACAGGAAGATTATCACAAGTTTGAGGCCAGCCTAGCCTACATAGTGAATTCAAAGCCCACCTGAACTGCATAGCAAGACCCTGTCTCAAAAAGCCAAAAATAAAGAAAATAAGTTTTTTTAAACAAAAAGCTTAACAAATGTTTTCTCAGAAGACAAAAGAGTGTTTCTTATTTTGATACTTTACCTGTTCAGAGTCACCTGACCCCAGCCCAGTCGAAGGACATGAATTATTAAGAGGAACCTGAGAGGCTGGGAAGCCATGGAGTCCGGAGAGGCACTGAGCACAGGGGCTGGTGTGGGCCAAGAACCTCAGGAGGCCCACACTGTCCCACCCAGCCCACTCACCATGCTGACTGTGGTGGTAGAAGTGGAGCTCAGGAGGGGTTCAGGTGAGAAGCTTTGAAAGCCAGGAGAGTGTTTTGTAATAGGCAGGCCTAGACCAGTGAAGGTAGGGAAGCCAAGGTACACACTGAAGGCAGAATGTGGGAATCCTGAAGCTTGGTTTCCCTTGCGAGAGTTGATGTGAAGCCCACCCTTCTCAGACCCTGAGGAGATCCAGAGTCCTTTACTTCTTTTGGAGGAACCCAAGAGCCTTCGCTTGCTTCCTTCGAGAACTCTGGAGAGTCAGGTAAATGGGGTAGGGTGGGGCAGGGGAGGAGAAGACACTGCTGACCTGGGCTCTGTCCACAGGAACAATGCTTCACCTTTGACAGAGTCTTGGGCCTGGATGCTGCTCAGGTAAGGTGGTCTGAGAAGGAGATGGGAGGAAGATGGAATCTTCAGGCCCCCAAATGCTGGGAAGTTGACTGCTCTCCAGGCCTTGTGCTCAAGGCAGGCTGGCACAGGGCAACTTGAGATGGTGGAGTGTGCCTATTTTACCCTGCAGGAGGCAGAGCAAGAGCTGCTGTCACGAATCCAGTCTACACTGGCTTTGGTGGGCAGAGGGTACAATGTAGCCCTGATTCTCCGGGGCCGGGAAACAGAGGCACCCCGACTTGTACCACAGGTAAGGAGTCAACAGATCACATGTCTCTTGAGGCTCAGGTGTCACCTCCTCCAGAAGACTTAAGAGAATCTGCCTGCCTACCTAAGCCAGATGGGGTTTGCCTCATTGGAGCTGCTGTCGCATCCTGTGTACATAAGGAAGTTTTGGCAGTGTCAGTTTATACAGCTATTGGGAAGTCAGGAAAGGGGAGAAGCTGGGAATGGTGAGTGTCAGGGAGGTGTGCTGTGCAAGGAGCAAATCTAATTTTCACAGTTGTTGGTAATTCTAATAATACAAACTCAAAGGTTTTGTTGTGAGATAAATGTGGGGACATTTATCAAAATGTCCCCAAATCAAAATAGCTGCCTCAGAACCTTGTCATCGCCCCCACTCTGCAAGTCCAAGGTCCCACTGAAAATGCTGGCTCATTTACCTGGCTCATTGTGAATCTGAGGGCTTGGGCTGAATCTGTTCTGGGCACCATGCTCCCGAGGCCTGGAATAGACGTCATCCTTGTGAAATGCTGGATGAGACTGATGCTTTCCTTATCCCCACTGAGCAACTTCCTTTGCTTAGCTGCTGCAGGTGCTGTTTGAGCAAACTCTGCTCCTCCATCGCTCTGACTGCATGCTCAGTACCCTTAGCCTGGTGCAGGTGAGACCCTTGGGGGAGGAGGGAATGTGGCAAGGTCACATGACACCGCAGAAAGAGCCTGAGCCCGAGGGGAACTAGAAGAGCTTGGGTTCAGTCCCTCTTTGTTCTTTGCCTCTCTTGGCTCACCTTTGCCCCGACTAGGAAATGGATAAATTCTTGTACCATGTTTAGTTACACAGGCCCCCATGGGAGGGGGAAAGGCTCATCTTGACACAGATGTGTTTGTGTAATCCCAGATCAGCCCTAGCGGGAGGATCCAGGACCTGCTCTGTCCAGGACTAGAGGACCTTTCTGTGTTGGAGGTGGCCCCTCTGGGCTTGTGAGTTGTTAGGGCGCAAGGGGGGCTGAGGCTGCTGTCTTTTTTTTTGGCGGAACTGGGGATTGAACTCCAGCCCTTGCACTTGCCAGGGAAGCGCTTATTCCACTGAGCCATCTCCGCAGCCCAAGGGTGCTGTCTTAAGGCAGGGCTGACATCCCCAAACCAAGCCCTTAGAGGTTTCTACACACTGCCATTCCAGAGAAAGGAAGCTCTGAGCTTGGCATCATACTCACAAGGCCTGAGTCTGTTCCCAAAACCCCCTCCCACACTCTTGCCTTCATCCTATATGCCCTCTTACTCCTCACTCCCCAGTTAGATCTTTTCCACTTACAACTCTTCAACTCCATTCCCCACCCCCATGTCCTGACTCAGTCCATTCTCACACTAGGTACTTCTGAGTATCTCACTAAGCAAGACTTTAGTCTCTCTATCTGTGAAAAAGGGGTAATACCTACTACCCTGCTCCCACCCCTGGTAAACTACACAAGGAAAAACAAGATCATCAAGATGAGAGGCTCATAGGAAGGGCTACTGGGCCTGAGGCCCCTAAGATTGTTCTTACAGGCCAAGGACACTTTCACGGGAGAATCTAGGAGTCAGAACAGAACTCTAGCAGCTCAGCCCAGAATCCCTTCCTTCAGGGTGGTGGAAGGTACCAGTGAAGTGGAGGTGTCTGACTCAAGAGCTGCTTCAGAGCTGTATTTGCAGGCTACAGTGCATGAAGGCAGGTGAGCACAAGAGGGCACCTTGCACCCCTCTTCCCTAGGCATTTGGCCTGAGCCTACCCTACCCTCTGCAGGACTTGTCTGCTGACGCTCACTGTTTCCTGTTCTGGTCCTGAACCTCCTGAGTGGTCTGGGACCCGGGGTGTGTGGAGAGGTGCTTTGCGGATCTTGCAGCTCCCAGGAGGCCTGTAAGTCTGAGAAGTTTTCTGATTCTACTGGGAGGAGAGAGGGTAGCAAATATGGTTGTGATAAACCTATGGGACCCCTGTTCTGAAAGGTTTGCCATCTTGGGCCTAGGGCAACATCAAAATCTTTCCTCCTTTCTTCGGCACTGATGGCTGTGCACCCTGGAGTCCAGGCTAATATCCTTTGTTGGCAAATGATGTGGTCAAAGGCAACAGGAGAGAGATTTTATGAAATTGCTAGCTACTTTCTTTTCTTTTTTTAAATGTATTTAGTACAGGGTCTAGAGGATCTACAGGGTTTCATTGTAGATCAGACTTGTAGTGATTCTCCTGTTTTCAGCCTCCCAAGTGCTGGGATTACAGGCATGCACATGCCCAGTCTCAGTGAGCCCTGGGGGGCACACCAGGAGGGGGGGGCGCACACACAAAGGACCGAACCCCGGGCCACTGCACTCTCACTTTCTATATGTGCATTTTCCAGTTACTGTTTTTTCAGAAGTTGGTAAAAGCATTGGCGGGAGCTTTGCAAATAGTATCTTCAAGCATTTTTGTCTGATTTTTTCAGACTGTTTCTCTACTTTTTAATTATTATTATTATTATTATTATTATTATTTATTTTTTTTTTTTTTTGGCAGAACCGGAGATTGAACTGAGGCCCTTGCACTTGCCAGAGAAGCACTTCTTCTACTGAGCTATCTCCCCAGCCCCAATTTTTACATTTCTAATTCATGTCCAGCCACTTACTTTCCTTCTATTATATCAAACTACAAACAATTAAAGAACCTAAATGTCCAAAAACCAAGATTGGAAATTTCCCAAGTAACTGTATCAGTATGCCCCAATCCATACCTTTTTCTCAGTGCTAAAAAATAATGAATACAAGTGTGGTGGAGCAAGTCTGGATGCTAACATTTTCCGGGCTTAGACAGGAGGATCACAATAGAGCCCACCCTGGGCAATTTAACAACTTAGCGAGGCCCTATCTCAAAATTAAAAATAAAAGGACCTGGGGATGTCGCACAATATAAAGACTCTGGGTTAGAGCCACAGGCTGGGTACAACCTCAATCTCCAATCATATGGCACTAGAAACTAAAAATTTAAAATTAATTTTAAAAATTTATAATATCATTGAAACATTGTCAAATTTAGAAGTCCTGGGCTGGAGATATAGCTCAGTGGCACACAGCCTGCCTGATAAGCCTAAGGTCCTGAGTTTGATTCTTGATACCAGAAAAAAAAAAAAAAAAAGAAAAAGTACTTTGAATTCAAGACTATCCCACTGTTTTATTTCTCTCTCTCTCTCTCTCTCTCTCTCTCTCTCTCTCTCTCTCTCTCTCATTGTGTAAGAGTCCTTTTTTATTTTATTTATTTTAGGAATTGGGCATTGAACTCAGGCTCTTGTGCTTGCCAGGGAAGTGCTTATCCTCTGAGCCATCTCCCCAGCCCCAAGAGTCCTTAAAAAAAAAAAAAGCTAGTTATGTTGAAATAATTAATATACCATAAAGTTTATTCCCTTAAATGAATAAGCTAAGTAGCTCTTAGCATACTCACAAAATTGTGCATTGCTCAGCACTAATGTTAAATAAAAAATAGGAGATATCTGAAATAAAAGGGATTATTGATATGTTACAGGTGCTAGATAAAAATAAAAGGACCTATTATGGGAGAAATTTTCTGAGCCATCAGCAGTACAGGAAAATAGTAGTTGGAAAATGTTTGCCAGATTTAAGAAGCCAGGCTATTTGAAATGAAACTCTGGGGAGAAGAAAATCCCAGCCCCCATAGAAGCTAGTCTACAAGGGAGTTGCTATTGCTTTTTTCTTGGTTGGTTTTGCAAGCTGAGTGTGATTGAGCCTTGATGGCTATTCTTACCACATAGGGAAGAAATGTGGAGCAGCTTTGTTGTTTCCTCTTTGTTGATTTGTCACAAGCTATCAGCTTAAATAAACCCTTATCTTATCTTTTCTTCTGCTCCATTCTCTGTCCAATAACTAAAATTAGAACATCTGAAGATTATTTTATTAATAGTTTTAGAACATTTTCCTCTCTCCAAAAAAAGATACTTTTTTTTTTTTGCAGACCTTCCACACCCTGCTTTCCCTCAGCCCAAACAGAAATATAGACAGAAAAAAAAGGGAAAAACTTCCCTAAGTTCTAGACTATTGCACTGTTTTCTTTCATTTCTCTTTTTCATTGGGTAAGATTTCTTTTTTTAAAAAAATAGCTAGCTATGCTAAAATATAATTAATACAATCCCTACTGATTAATATGATTTTTCACTGATTTTTCTGTGTATAAAGATGTGACCAGGGGCCGGGGAGATGGCTCAGTAGAATAAGTGCTTCCCTGGCAAGCACAAGGGTCTGAGTTCTGAGTTCAATCCCCAGTTCTCAAAAAAAAAAAAAAGACATGACCAGAAAAGATGATAGGCCACACCTATAATCTCAGGATTTAGAAGGTTGAGGCTGGAGAGTCACTGTGAATTCAAGGTCATCCTGGGCTACACAGTGAGTTCAGGACCAGCCTAAACTACATAGTGAGATCCTATTTCAAAATAAAACTAAGCTAAACGAAACAACTCATCTCAACTCAACTAAAAATATGTCTATATTGGTCATTTTCATATACAGTAAATAAAATCATGCCATATGTGATCTTTTGTGTATAGTTTTTTCATTTAACATCATATTTTGGGGGCCAGTCAGATAGCTCAGTGGACAAAAGCACTTGCTTAAGCAGAGCAGAGTGGCCTGAGTTCTATCCCTGGAGCGCCATGCTGGCTCTGCCCCCAGGGTGCGCTGAAATGGTGATTGAGACTGGGCGTGGTAGTGCCTGTAATCCCAGCATTTGGGAAGCTGAAAACAGGAGTCCGATCTATGTAGTGAGACCCTGTAGACCCTGTACTAAATACTTAAAAATAAAAATAACATATTTTTAAGGTTCATTCAAGTTGTAATATCCCTTTGTACAAATATACCATATTACCTGTATCATTTCTCCACTGAGGGAAATTTGAGTTGTTCCCATGTTTAGTTATTGTAAACAACGCTGCACCAAACATTCATGTACAAGTTTTTGTTGGACATATGTTTTCGATCCTCCCAGGTACATACTGAAAAGTGATATTGGTGGGTCATATGATAACTTAATATTTATTTATTTATTTGTTTTGATTTTTTGACACAGGGTCTGCCTATGTCAAGGTCCAAGCTGGTTTTGAACTCACTTTGTAGCACACACTGGCCTGGATCTCATGGCAACCCTCTTGCCTCAGCCTCCTGAGTGCTGGGATTACTGTGTGTGCCACAACACCAGACTTACATGGTTAATTCAATTTTAAATTTTGTCTTTATTGAGGTAAAATTCACATTACACAAAATTAGCTATTAATCATGTTATATACAATTTAGCAACATTTAGTACATTTGCAATGTTCTGCAACTCTCTAGTTCCAAGACATTTTTCATCACCTGAAAGGGAACTCTTGGACACACTATGCAGTCATTCTGCAGTTTTTCTTTCTCCAGCCCCTGCCAAACACAATTTAACCAATGAATCTCCATGGATTCATTTGCTTCATATAAATACATACATGCAATGTGTGACCTTTTTGGTCTAGCTTATTCATTTAGAAAATTGTTTTCAAGGTTTACCATATTGTAGTATATAACATTCCTCTTTATGGTCAAATAAGCTTCTAATGTACAGATGTGCCACTTTTGTGGTGGTCAGTTGATGACTACTGGTATTGTCATATTCCTTTCCTATGAATATTCATGCACAAGTACTTGTTTGAATACCCCTTTTCAATTCTTTTGAGTATATACCCAGGAGTGGAATAGCTGGGTCATGTGGTAATTCTATGTGTATTTTATTTTACTTTTCATGGTGCTGGAGATTGGTTACAGGGCTTTGTATAGGCTAAGCAAATACTGTGCTACTGAGTGACAACTCCAATTCCTCTGTTTAACCTTTGAAGAACCACTGGACTATTTTTCACAGTATTATACTAGCTTATATTTACAGCAGCAACGTATGAAGGCTTTAGTTCCTCCACATCCTTATCAACATTTTTTATGCTTTTAAAATTATGGCTATAGCACCTAGTGGTTGGGAGTAGTATCACACTGAGGTTTTCATTTGCATTTTTTTTTTTTTTTTTTTTGTCTGATTAGGAAACTCCGCTCCTGTTTCACTTTATTTTTTTTTCATAATTTTATTGATAAACAAATAGCAATGAGACAGTTTCAAATCAAATCGCTAGGACAGTTTCAATAACTAACACACTGCATACATTCTTCTTAGTGGTTAATTGTCATTTGCATTTCTTTAATAACTAATGAAGATGAGAATGCTTATGTGTGCTTATTGGCCATTCTTGTCTCTTCTTTAGAAAACTATCTCTTCACATCCTCTGCCTATTTTAATTGGGTCATTTGTCTTGTTATAATTTTACTCAAAGTTTCTATTTATTGTTGGGTCAGTTTTGTAATTATGTGTTTTTAGGAGACTGTTCATTTCATTTAGGTCCTCTTGACAGGATTTTTGAAAATTATTTCTTCTTTTTTGACCATTATTTCTTTAAATATTCTTTCTGTTCCTTTGTTTCATTTCCATTTGGCATCTGAAGTATACATATGTTAGCACACTTGATGTTGTTCCACAGGTCTCTTGGGATCTGCTAATTTTTCTCTGTTAACAGTCTATTATTTGAGAGATCATGACTTGATTTATTTCAGTTGTCTGAAATAATTAAATTTGTCTAGTAAATTCAATGTTTGACATTTATGTATCCTGCAAGATAGTTTATGTTCATTCCTTTTTATTCCTATGAGCCATACTTTCTTATTCTTTGGCATGCATCTGTTTTTTTGTTGAAAGTAGATTATTTTTCATATTTTTGTAAGATTGTACTTGTCATTTTTTTTGTATTTGTCATATTGATCTCCTAGGTCTCTCTTCCTTTAGTTTAGTTTTTTGACATTTAGGATATTACAATATGGTTACTGTAGGAATCAGAGTCTTTATACTCTCTAGGATTTGCTCTAGGGGCCTGGCCTTAGCTCAGTTGTTTAAGTGGCTGCTTCCACAAAGCTGTCAGCCTCAGGTTGCTGTAGTTCGATCTCCACAACTCTCCAGCCAGCCAAACCAGCCATGAGGGCATTCGGAGCAAAAAAAAAAAAAAAAAAAAAACAAAAAAAAACCTAGGATTTGCTCTTGCTTGTGGTGGGTTGTGGCCATCTGTTTGCCTAGTCATTTTTCTAAACAACTTCTGAAAAATTACATTCTGTGTGGTCACAAAAGCCTTCATTCTCTCATCTCACTGGCTGGCCAGTAACTCAACATAGAAGTCTTTAAATGAATGGGGTCTGTACTTTTGGAAACCCAAGAGAAAAAAGCACAAGACAGGGCATGCATGCAAAAAAAAAAAAAAAAAAAAAAAAAAAAAAGAGGTAGGAAGTAAACAAATGAGAAGTAAAAAAGATTAAAGGAAAATAAAAATAAAAATTCTCTAGATCTCTGCAAATCAGCTTTATGTGTTGAGTTCCTCCCTCCTAGGCCATTTACAGCTCTGCCTTGTCCTACATTTCAGTCAGATGTTACAGCTTAGTACTCTTGGGTCTCTTCCATGTGCGAAGCCTGCCATGAGTGTGTTTTCTAGGTTCCACATTATAAACAGAAACTTAAAAAAACCAGAAATCTCATTCCCTAATTTTTCCTCTTATTCTTTCTATGAGTATGTAATTTGCTTCAATTGTTATTTTTATTTCAAGAAGCTTTGGTTTGTTATTTTTGCCTTTCAGTGTTTTCAAGGAATATCCTATGTGTAACCAACCACTCATGCAAAACAAAAAGAAGTTCCATTTGAGCTGGTCATGATGGTGCACACTTACAATCACAGCACTCGAGAACACTAAGTCAGGAGGACTGTGAATTTGAGCCCAGCCTGAGCTACTTAGTGAGTTCAAAACAAAAAAATAAAATAGCTTAGTGTGAAGGCCCTGGATTCAATTCCTAGTACCAAAACCAACTAAACAAACAAACAAAATCTCTCAGTGCTGGGAACAGATATGTGCTATAGTGAGTCTTAACACCCACAAAGAACTCTCACTGTGTTTAAGTTGCTTGTCTCCTGGTGGAGCATTCATCTGGGTGCCCTAGACCTCTAAGTCTCCCAGAGTTAAGTTGAGTTGATTATATGAGTTGATTCTGTTCACTTTTGTCAGGTGTTTCTGGTGCTAGATGGATGTCTGGAGTTCCTTAGTGTAGTATTTTCACCAATGCCACCTTGCTTTAACCTTTATTTATTTATTTATTTATTTATTTATTTGATACAGAGTCTCACATGCAGTTCAGGCTCATAGTGATCCTCCTGTCTCAGCATCCCCAGAGCTAGAATTACAGGCCTTCCAGGGCTTGAATGGCATGTGGTACTCAGATCAAACTCAGGTCCTTGCATGTTTTGTTTTGAGACAAGTTCTCACTATGCAGTTCAGGCTGGCCTTGTGCTCACTTACTATAGCCCAGGCTGGCCTCATGGTGATTCTCCTGTTTCAGCCTCTCAAGTGCTGGGATTACCAGCACATGGTGTGCCACCATGCCTGCCCCTTTATTGATCTTTTTTTTTTTTTTTTGTATTTTAGGTAAGGGTCTACAGGATGTTCAGGGTCTCACTACTAGATTGGACTCAAAGAGCTGGGATTACAGGTGTACACCACTAGTCTCAATTGTCTCAGCAGCCCCGGGGGTGGGGCTGGCACAGCATGCCCAGGGATCGAACCCCTGGCCCCTGTGACTGCTTGCAGGTGCTTTAATCTGCTACCCTATTTGGCAGGCCCTACCTTTACTGATCTTGATTTGGATTATCTTTTTGTTAATGAGTTCTAAAAGCTCTTTATGTATTCTGATACAAGTCACTTTTAGATATAAAATTCTGTACCATCCAAATTCAAAAAAAAAAAAAATTTGTACCATGACATTATGGTTTGCATCTAGTTGTCCCCCCAAAGCCTCATGTAAATCATGAGGTGGTTGTGCTTGAGGAGCAGCATATGGCTTGAGGGATGGAGCCAGAGGATCCAGGGAGGGGCTTGAGGGGGTGGCCAGAGAGGTGCCAACCCTTAAACTGACAGCCAGCGCCTCCCTGACTCCCTACCCCCAGGCCTGGTGGCCTCTCTTGGAGGTATGGAGCGGATCATCCTGGACACCACAGCATGCCAGCCTCTCTTCCAAACCTTGTACGTGGGACGGCAGTGTCTTGAGGTCTTGCTATGTAATTTAGTCTGCTTTAAACTATGAAACTTGCAGTAACTGTGAGCTAAATAAACCTTTCCTTCCCTAAGCTTGAGTGTCAGGCATTTGTCCCAGCAACAAGAGAAGACTAACAAATATACATGAGAATGTATTACTTCTCTAAATTTTAAATAAAAGCAACAAAATAAACATCGATGCCAAGCTGCAAATCTGGTGGTGTGCAGAAGTTGTAGGAAATAGTAAGTTTGCCCATTAGAGTGTGATTCTGCTCAGTTTTTTTCCCCCTTTTTTCCTGCTCAGTTTCTTGCCCTATCCTCTGTTTTTCTTTTTCCCTTCCTTTTGCAGAGACTGCCCCCTACTGAGGGTATTGGCTGGTGAGGTTGGAGAGATCGAGGGCTCTCTGCCTTGGATTGTCTCACAGCTCCTAGAAGGAAACAACTATGGTGGCCTACTCCTCCGTCTGGACCCCCAAGGTGACTGGGGGGAGGTTGTGGGATCATTTGGGAAGCTCTAGGATAGTAGTGGTGAACCTAGGGCACATGTGCCACAGTGGGCTGTTTGTATCACTGAAAGGTTTGCCATCACTACTCTCTAGGATGAGGGCTTAAAACTGCCTCATCCTGTCACTGAATGAGCCCCTGCCCAATCCCAACCCAGAGAGGAGGGTGGAAGGGAGAGAGAGAGAGAGAGAGAGAGAGAGAGAGAGAGAGAGAGAGAGAATGAATATGACCCTCTGGGAAGGCCAGCATTCAGAAAGGTCCCATTAGCTGGGTATAGTGGCACACATTTGTAAACCTAACACTCAGGAGGCTGAAGCAGGACTGCTAAGAACTCAAGGCTAGCCTGAGCTACATAGTAGTGAGTTCCATGTGAATTCAGGTAGGTACTTATGCCACTGAGCTATATCCCTGGCCCCCTCCATGTGAATTCAAAGCCAGCTTGAATGACACAGCAAGACCTTGTCTCCAAAGACAAACAAAAAAAGCCAAAAATAAGTGATACTATATAGGATGATACATTTCTTATACTTTTAATGTTTTTTTAACTTGCCATAACAAGAGTTTTTAAAAAATGGACTCTGACTCAAAAATAAACAAACACGTCTTCCTTTGGCCAGTAAGTTCCCAGACCTCACCCTATGCCAGGCTGTATGAAATGAAGACAAGTTGGAGCAGTTCACACTCTTCTAGATAAAGCAGTCATGCATTTACCAATAGGCCAGCTTGGTATCATGATTAAGAGCAGAGGCTTTCGTGTCAGACAGAACTGGACGTGTCAACTCTGCCACTCACCAAGAAGTTCCTTGACCTCTCCACACTTCAGTCATCTCATCTGGAAAATGTGAGGGAGGCAGGACTGATCAGAGTTGCTATGAATAAAAAGAGGTAATCTATGACAAGCCTTAACACAGTGTCATCAAGCACATGTGAAAGTCTAATAAAAGTTATTTTGAAGAATGATGGTCTTAATGGAATTTTAAAGTATTATAGGCAGTGTGCCCTGGAGTTCACAGGAAAAGAAATCCACTATGAGTCTCCCCTTACAGGTAGCTCCCTGAGTTTGCTTCAGGGTGCTCTGCTGGGGGCCTCACAAAGAAGGATGCAAGTGAAACAGGTGAAGCCCATCCTGTGGAACGCAGTAGAAGAGGCCCGGGTCCGCCGAGCTGGCCTGAAGACCCTGCGTTTAGGCCTCCTTGGAAACACCTTGACAGATGAAAGGCTTAGGCAGCTGGGCAGGGCACTCCGGGAGCTACAGGTGATCAAGGTGAGGCCTGGGGGCTCCTGGACCAACAATGATCAGGGCCCACTCTGAGCTTTTTTCTATAGGTGGTAAAGGCCTGGAGCCAGTATCCAAGAGGCCCAGTACCCAAAGGGGCCACAGCCAAGGTGGAGGAGCTCCTAGAGCCACAGGTATGTCTTTGCCTCCAACTTCTTAGGACTCAATTTATGTCAGCTTGTTTACATAGCATTCTATTTGTTCTTTGATTTATTGATTCTACAACATTCACTGACCATCTATTATATGTTGGGGATAGTGCTATGTCAGCCCTAAGCATTTCCTGTCTTTGTGGCACTTATTACCTTCTGAGAAGAAACAATTACAACACTATGATTGGTGCTCTGAAAGGCTTATAAACATCTGCTTCTGTCAAGCATCTAAGTTAGCTTGGGCAAGAGAGGAAGGAAGACTTCATGGAGGAAGTGATTATGGGTTAGCAAAGATGAGTGAAGAATGTTCTAGGAAGAAAATAACAGGAGAGACTCAAGAGGTGAATGAGCACTTGATGTCTCTGGGTGACTGAAAGTAGCTCACTTTGCTGGAGAGTGCAGTTTAAAGAGAAACTTTAACTTTTCACGGGAGAAAGATTGGAAAGCAAAGCAGGGAGCAGCTGTGAAAGGGCTTTATAAACCTATTGAGTGGTTCTGACTGTCTTCAAGGTCCAAGGCAAGCCACTGAAGTACTGTAAGCAGGGGAGAAGACACTGCTCCCATTTGTCAGGTGAGAAAACTGAGGCTGAGATGTGAATAGCCCAGTCACCAACACAATCAGCAGCAGCAGAGGTGCAATCATACTCAAACTCTTATTAGACTCCTAATCCAGCACTCTTGTATCCTCTTAGGCATGGCCTTTCTAGAGGAGAAAGGGATGCTGTCTCCATGATTTCTTGTAGGGTATTTAAAACCCTATCTCTCTTGGTCCTCTTTCCTTAAACTGTGTTTACAGTCCTGGGGTAGGAGAATTAGGCATTACTCCCAGTTATTGATCAAGTATTTTAGGCCATTACATTTCAAGCTGTCCACAATTTTTATCATCTCTGCTTTACAGAGTACATGGAGACTCAAAGGCTAGTTAACTGCCTGAGGTTATACACCTAACAATGGGATGGATGTTGGTCCCATTCCAAATCCCTGTGATTAGCCTAAAGTGTTCTGGGAGGAAAGGTGTGGAATTGCCATTCCTAATATAGTTTCAGCAGATGACAGACTCAACTGTAGCTATAGCTTAAGTCTAAAGGGGGAATGCCAACGTGGATCTGGAACTTGGAGGCTAGCTCGTGTGTGTGTGTGTGTGTCTGTGTGTTCCCCTCCGTGTTGGTCTATTTTCCTTTAGTGGCAGGAAGAACAGCATTTCTAGGGCCTGGGCTCCATCAAAAGCATTCCCTCAGCAACTCTGAAGACCAGGTAATACCTCACATACCCCAGGAATGACTGGAAACTGTGGAGGGGAGTCAGGAGTCCCAGAGACCATCTAACCTGCTTCCTGCTTTCCCCACCCTGACATTATGGAGGAATATAGAGCTACCAGCAATAAAGGACTTGAAGGGCTACTGAATCCCAGAAAGTTCTGGGAAAGGCTATTTTCATTCTGGGCTGGATTAGGGTTGTGGGATTTCCAGGGCCTCTGATATACTATGGGCAATGCCAAGGACTTCTCTCTCCTACCATGGCCTCTTGAGTCTGTGCCCACGCTACAGGCTCTTCAAGGTAAGGCCCTAGATGTAGTTCTTTTTTTTTTTTTTTTTTCCCTAGGTGTAGTACTGATAGCATCCCTAGAAATTAGGCTCTTTGGGAAAAGCTGGGCCCTCTGTTCCAAGCTATGTATATATGAACTTGTCTGAACCTAAGTTAACATTCTCTAGGCCTGCCAGGCCCCAGATGTGGCCCTGCAGTTCCTTCTGGCCCAGGCCCAGAGGCAAAGACTGCAACAGCAGCACCAAATTTGGATCCAAGAGGAGTTGAAACACTTGGGACAGGACAGTGCAGGTGGACACGTCAAAGGCCCTGTGACTGAGGAGCAGATAAAAAAAGTAAGTAGGGGACTACGATCCATCATCAATCAAAACTTACTGGTCCACAGCATCTCATGGCCCTCAAAGCCTTGTATGGGATAGAGAAGCAATCCTCTACCTGTGCTGCAGTGGCAGGAGAGCTAGGGATTGTGGAAACAAAGAACACATCACCAAGGCTGGAATGGATCACACATGGCATTAGACAGACCGAGGACACACAGAAATCAGCCAAAAGAAATTAAGACTCAGCCCCACAAGGGCAGTCAGTGTTTACCATAAGAACATCCAGTAAATGTAACTTGTTTGACTGAATTAAGAAACAAAATTTATGTGGTGGTGGTGGAGGGAGTGGTGATGTTCTCTGAATAAAACTGTGTTAAGTCTACAGGTAAGCAATGGCAAAATAAGCTCTGAGAACTACAAACTGTCCTGTCTGACTTGAGCCTACTGTGTAGTCACAGGTAAGGCTGAAGAGAAAGTGCATCACATCTCTGGGTTTTGGATTTTACCCTAACGATTAGGGAACTATTGAAAGGTACGTGCCATCTCTGTCCCTTACTAGCTATGGGAATCTGGACAAATTAGGTCACCTCCCTGATTCAGTTTCCAAATCTGTAAAATGGCAACTACCCTGTAAGGTTAATAAATAATACAATTATGTGTTTAGCAAACAGCATGGCATACTGCTGGCACTTAGTGGCTATAAATTATCTTCTCTGCAGCTCAGCGAAGAGAGACAGAGATGGCTCTGGGAGCAGACAGTGCTGAGGCTCCAGGTGGAGGCCCTCCAGGCAGAGCGGGATACGGCAGAGCAGGACCTGGCAACTCTATACGACTTGCATGTACAAGCCACTCGTGTTCAGACATGCCACATGCTTCAGGTCAGTGGGGACAGATGGCAGGCCCTGAGCTGGTGTCAAGGTTGGCTGGCTGACAGGCATCTGTGAATCTGGGCACAGGTATTCCGAGCCTGGCAGGGGCTATGGGAGGAAAAGGCCACAACTACAGAGCACCATCTTCGTGGCCTGCTGGCTCATGTGCTGCAAGACACTATTCATCTGGCCTCAAAGAACCAGGAGCTCCAAGCCCAGAACCAGCAGCTGCAGCTTCAGCAGTGTGCAAGCAAGCCTGGGGCAGTCACACTGGACACATGTCTTGGAGAGCAAGTTGGTGATCAGGAACCCTTCAAGGGAAGTTTCCTTCCTTCTCATTCTCAAGAGTCCTAGAAGGGAGAGGGTGCGATATGACAACAAAGTAGAACCTCATTATAGGCGATCAATTGCCTTACTAACCACATCTCACTGTGCCAGTTTCCACTAAGTACCTGAGAGGTAATACTTCATTTTGTCTTTTCTGGTATTTTGTCAAAACTACAGTCAACCTACTTAGGTATTACTTGACTTCATTTCAAAGATGAAGCAATGGAAGCTGAAGATGTTAAATCAAAGGACTATCGACTAAATTAGAATTTTAAAATGAAGTTGGCTATAGCTGCACATTACAGTAGTTTTCTAAGATTCCCTTTGCAGGGCTGGTGAGAATAGCTCAGTGGACTAAGTGCCTGCCTGGCAAGTCCAAGGTTGATCCTGCGCTGGCCCTGCTCCCCAGCGCACTGAGCTGGCCATGGAGATCAGGAGCGGTGGCACACACCTGTAATCCCAGCACTGGGGAGGCTGAAAACAGGATTGCTACAAGGCTGAGCTGTCTAGTGAGACCTTGTACCAAAAACATAAAAAAGAAAATCCACTTTGCATCAAAATTACAAAGCATTTGTTCAACCACTGAACTATACCTACCCTAGAACTTTTTTTGGTTCCAGAGATCAAATTTAGGACCTCATGCTTGCCAGGGAGGTGCTGTGCTGCTGAGCTATATCCCTAGTTTCTGAACTCCTATTTTGACAAGCGTAACAGGTGTTCTACTATGGAAGTAAGAGTGTGGCATTCTTCTGGCCAGGACTTCAAAGGGCAGAGTATCATAGGATCAAGAGGAAATAAGAGGGGCCGGGGAGACAGCTCAGCAGAAATGCTTGCCTGGCAAGCGCAAGGGCCTGAGTCCAATCCCCGGTTCCTCAAAAAAAAAAAAAAAGAGGAAATAAGAATCAAAACCACATTCACAGTCTTAAAATTTTCTTTGTCTAGTTTCTTCTGCTGGATACAGTACCTTCTATTTTCAAGACTTTATTCTCTATAGTCCAAGTTTTATGCTTTAGGAAAATTTCAAAAGCTCTGTGACAAAGAAGTCTTAACTCCATGGAGTTTCCAAAATAAGTAACAATACTGACAACAGCTGAAAGAAATGTTACGGAATTAAGATACTCAGGAGACCAAGGGAATACTACTTTTAGGAGAGATGTATAACATAAGACATAGGGCAATAGTTACCGGTTTTAGGAACTACACCCTAGAACACTTTATTAAGACTTTATTGCTTATGCAGTTAAACAGACACTGATTGAGTTATAGAAGTTTCCTGTACCTGGTCCCAGGTCACTGTCCAGAGCTTCTCCAGATTGTTGGGAGCTGGGACACTACTAGGCAGGGGAAAGTTCCACAGAGGGAAGAGCATACCTTCTACAATCCCTAGAGGTGGCAGAAGGTTTCGAGAGGGATCAGGAGTATAGGCTTCAGCCAAAGCCCAGGGGCAACATTCCCTGAGACAAGTCAAGCCCCAGCACCCTCTGGAGTCTCCAGATCAAAGGCTGGGCATGGGAAGCAGCACTGTGGGGGGTGCAGATGTCTCCAGGGACAGCTGGACATGGGGAAGCCTGGCAGAGTGGTCTGGTGATGGTTGTATAATTTGTGGCAACTAAGCCTTCCTGCATGAGTGAAGAGTGAATATTCCTTGGGGGAAGTCATGCATCAAGACTGGGCAGGAGAAGCCAGCACCATGCCTTAGGGCAGTGGTTCTGCCAAGCAAGGTGTCACCTGTTGCCCACATCCTAATTTAAGCAACTGTGTTCATGCAGGAGGAGATGGGGGCCTCCCACATTGGGGATGGAGTTTAGTCTGAAAGAACTTGGAGGTGTGGTGGGAAAGTCAAGTTTTCTTAACAAAACCCAGTCTTTGTGTCTTCTAGGAGCACCCCTCCACCTACCAACTCCAGACTAACCTGGCTGCTCTCACTTCCCCAGCTTTTCTCACAAGGCACTTGTTACAGGGCTGCTGAAGAGGCCTGGGGAGACCTAGGAGGTGGCCTTAGTAGTGGCACCCAATCTACAGAGTAAGAATGTGACTGGATAGTCAGGGGCTAGTGGCTGCCATAGTACAGGCGCACAGCCAGGCCGATGAGTAGTGTGGCCAGAAAAAAGGTGACTGTGAGCTGCAGTCGAAGCAGAACCGCTGAGAGCACAGCATTGACCACTAATGAACAGGACACAATAAAGAGGCGTGTGATGCTGCTGCCATGCTTCATGACAGCTGACATGATCAGCCCATTGAGTGCCTGGCTCAGCACCACGAGCGCTGCCCATCCTGAGAAACCCTCCAGGAGGCCTGGGCCAGGACCACTGCCTGCATGCAGACCGAGGTTCAGGAGCACACCGAAAGTGTAGAGGAAGATGTTCTGCAGTGCCAAGGGTAGCCGTTGTCGCTTCATGAGCAGCTCTGTGTACACAGAGGACAAGCCTGAGATGAAGCAGTACAGAACGAGGAGTAGCAGCCCCAGGGGAGTGACATGCAGGGGCATGGTGCTGGCAGCAACTGCTGGCAGGGGCCCTGAAAGGGTGTTCACAGAGTCTTGAAGGCCACCTGCTGCATAACAGGCCCCTGCAATCATCAGTAACAATAATGCCAATCCCTGGCGAGCAGAGAGGCGGTGATGGAGGCAGAGGCAGTACAACAGGGCTGTGCTTCCAATCTTGAGGTTGCTCAGTACCTGGTAGGTGCTGGGGTCCATGTAACGTTGTAGATAGATCACCAGGTTGTTGTTGGCACCATACAGCAGGGCTGATAGTGCAAAAGGAGCAGCTTGGCGCCAGGGTTGGCCCCCTGTGGGCCATGCTTGCCAGCCCACCAGGAGGGAGAAGGTGCACAACAGTAGCTTGGTCAACTCAGTGAGCAGCACAGCTGAGGAGGGACGGAAGGGTACTCGGCCATCCACATGGCAAAGTGCCAGCAATGGGGCATGGGCACCATACATAGCTGTGGACAGGAGTATCATCAGAGTCCAACGGGCCTGCCTGTGAGGGCCCAGGCCTGGTATACCCCCCTCCTCTACACTCATGCCCCAATCAGACCCTTGGTGGCCTGTGTAGATAGCAAAGGGCAAGAAATCCCATTTGAGATCAAGTTATAAAGCCAGTTTCCAAGAGGGAGGAGCTGTGGTACACTGTCAAGAGAAAATACTAAAGATCAGAGTCAGTGGCACATCCCACAGTTTGGGCTGGAAAAGGAAGGGGTGAGAGAACCAAAGTCACAGGGTCAGTCTCATGGAGCCAGGCAAGGAAGAAATCCAGGGTATAGGCTGACAAGCCACTATACAGCCTCTGCAGGGAAAAAGCAAAGATAAAGGTGGCAGGACAGATGGATGACAGCTAGGGAAGCCTGATAGAGTGTTCATGGCCCAAAGGCCTGCACCTGTAGGCTCAGTTGCTCATCCTTTTTCCCCCATGGGATCTGGAGCTAGTCGGGACCCTTGCGTAGTGATCGGAAGAAGTCCCTCAATGTCTTCTCCACGTCGGGCAAAGCATATGCCTGAGCTGCATAGATGCCAGTGCAGGTACCCATGGCAAATCCCAATACTGCTGAAGCCCTCAGTTTGGCCACCACATAGCCGGCCAGGAATCCCTTGAGGAATGGGGAGGACAAGAGTGAGCCATCCTGCAGAGAAAGATGCAGAAAGAAACTCAGGCAGGCTCCCTCCTTTCTCTACCCAAGAACTACTCAAGCTGATCTCAGCAAATTATATTACTTGCTCCTCACGTTGGAGGTGTTTTCAACCAAGATTTTCTCAAGCATCTGGAGCTAGAAAAAGAACTGAGTCCTGATAATACCATCTCAGAATCCTGGGGTCAGGTTGGGTGTGGTGGTACACACCTGTAATCCCAACACTCAGGAAGCTGAGATAGGACTGCTGAGAGTTCAAGGCCAGAGTGAGTTACATAGTGAGTTCAAACCCTCTGAACTGTAAAGCAAGACCTTATTTCAAAAAAAGGAAAAATAATTCTGGGTTCAGAAGGTTCCAACCTTAGAATAGTACTGTCAGAGGGCCAGAGTGGGCCCTAAGAAGTCTAGCCTCATTTCCTAGATATTTCCCCACTACTGCAACCAAACTGACCTTCTTTCCCCATGTCATGCTTATAATGCTGTGATATGCTCTTCCAAATGCCTGAAAAGTTTATTCTTGCCATGCATGCTGCTACACTGACTAACCCCTATTCTAGTTACCCCGTATTTAAGATTTTAGTTCAAGTGTTATGTTCTTAGGGAATTTTTTATTGGGGTGACTAAGACAACCCCTCAATAACTATTTGGCGAATAAAATGTTACCATCTATTCAGTATTCTGAAGGCAAGTTGGGCAATGAAACTTAAGGCCAGGGGTAGGACAGCCCCTACCTGGCCTACACCAGTGTTGACTTCATCTTCCACTCGTTGCTGCAGGCGCTCCAGCTGGTTCTTGAGAAATGCCAGGTCCTTAAGCTTGGGCAGAGAATCCTAGGACAAGGGAAAGGCTAGCTCAGCAGACTGACCCAGCCCTGGCTCCTGCTCACTTCCATGAGGCTGGGAGTTGGGAGGAGTGTGGGTCTGAGAAACATCTTTCTATAAAACCTTGAGATGGCAATAGTAAAAAAGGAGAGAATAACAAATGGAATTTACATCAGTAACCTGAAGGAATCTCTACAGGAGCCTCACACAGCAAGAAGTGTTTTGGGAAGGCAGCAGGCACCTTCAATTAGGTTAGGAGACTTTCAACCAAGTCTATGAGGAAGGCACTTCTGAGGAACTATGAGGTCTCTGCAAATGGCCATCAAACTGTCCTGCCTTCTGTGTGTCAGTGCCTCACAGGGCCTGGAAGGAACTTAGTAAATGTGTGGGTGATGCTGGGCTTCTAGATCAATAGTGAATAATGAATGGATTGAAGCAGTTCCCTATACAATTGGAGGGCAAAGCTTATTTCTGCTAGGGTTCTCTCCCTTTATTCCCAAGGCCATGCCAAACTGAACGGGAGTAACTAAAAGAAACGAAGAATGACTGAAGCGTGAATAAATGGGTGATTCTGACCGCTTCTAAGTACGGAGCAAGGGTGTGTTTGCATGAGGGTGGTTTGAATGTGCCTGCGGTCTGGAAACACTTTCCGAGTGATGAGGGTGAATGTTTGCGTGTGCGCTAGTAACTGGGCATCATGAAAGTTGCTAGAAGGGAACACGTGGAAAGCCAAGCTCTGAATAGTCCGCCACGCCTAAAAGTCTCCTCACGCCAACCTTCAATGAGGTAATCAGTAAAGCCCAGGGAAAACATGGCGTATCCCCACTCCTAAGTCATATTCCAAAACTAAAAAGTCGCCCCTGAAGCTAAAAGGGCCGTGAAGTGTAAAGACCAACCCGACAAAAGTTCACCTTACATTCACTCACCTTGTCATCCGCCATCTTCCCCGCCGAACTCGTTGCGCAGGCGCAGACCCGCCTCCCTCCTGCCAAATACCGCGGCCATCTTTATTGAGGGTGAAGGCACTTCCGGGGCATTCTGAAAGGGTGGGGCATTTTCCTAGCCACCGAGCGCGAGGCGTCTTCTCGCAGATAATTTTTTTTTTTTTCCTCGCGCAGTTACTTTCACGTGATCCTTCCTGTAGCGTTCCCGACTGCTTGTGCGCGCGCACCCGACCCCGCGATGATCTCACTGGAGCGCGCTTGCTGGCGATACACGTTCGCTTTGCTGATTTCCTCCCGGCCTCTGAGCTCATAGCTGCGCGGTGGTGTCAGCCAGTTGGCCGGCGCCTGTGCTCCTCCCTTAGCCACACGCACTGAAACTCCAACCCACCCGAGGCTCCACATCCCTGCTTGGCGGGCGGTGCAGCTCAGGCCCGCCCCTTCCCGCCCCACGACCGGCCCCTGTCCTACCCGGTGTTTGTACGGCGCCAGTTAGCTTGGAGGTCTCCGGCGCAGAGGCTGGGCTTGTAGGCGCAGCAGCTCCGGAGGTCGCGCTGCGCTCAGAGTGCCGGCCGGCGGGGACGCGGCGGGGCTATGCTGGGCAAGGATTATATGCTGGCCATCATTCTGGTTAACTGCGACGGTGTGCACGGAATGGCTGGACGGGAGGATTAAGGATTGAGGGGGGATACGGGAGAAAGGCACGAGCCTAGAGACGCAAAGACAGAGTGGGGTTTCATTTCGGTGTGAGGACGAGGGGACAAATAAACCCTGATGTTGCAATGTCTTTTTGAAGATTAAAATGACTTAAGTTTTAGCCTAAAGGCTGCCCTTATGGGATGATGGGAGGGTAATGACAAGGTGTTTTGAACTCACGAATAATATGCCCCTCCTCTGCAATGTCTTGTTCCTATAGATGACTTGTGGGGGGACCAGAATCTGGAGGGGGAGCCAGGCCTGCCCCCTGGCTGGAGGAAGATCCGTGATGCTGCAGGTACTTACTATTGGCATGTGCCCAGCGGTAGCACCCAATGGCAGCGTCCAGCCTGGGAGCTAGGAGATGCAGAGGACCCAGGCACGGTAGGTCAAGTGTAAGGAGTGGGACCTGAGCACAAGCGTGGCTCTAGGTCTTTGGCTACACTGACTGACTCCTACTCTTCAGGGCCCGAAGGGGGTTTGGGGACTGCGGCCCCCCAAAGGAAGATCTTTCTCCAGCCTGGAGAGCTCATTGGACCGGAGGTAACAGGGATGGTTGGGCTAAATGAAAGGCTTGGGGTTCTAGGTAGGAAGATCATAAGTTTGACGCCAGCCTGAACTGCATAGTGAGATCCCCCCCCCCCATAAAAAAAGAGGGGATAAAAGCAACTGGGTGGACCTGCAGTCTATTTTTCAACTCAGGTTGTGGAGTCTCCCTTTTTGGGCCCTGTTCTCTGCTTTTGGCTTTATCCTACTTTGTTGATTTCCAGTTTTTGTCCTTGTTCTAAGTTTTTGTCATTAGCTACATGTTTTTTTTTTCCATATTGTAGTCCTGACCTCTCATGTTCTAAACCTTGGCAATTGTCTTAGGTTCTGTGTGAGCTCCTATCCTTTGTTCTTGGGTCTCATCCCAGTTTTGGGTTCTTATTCACATTTTGGATAGGATTTTTTGGGGGGTACTGGGGATTGAACTCAGGACCTTGCACTTGCCAGACAGGTGCTTATGCCACTGAGCTGTACTGTATTTCCAGCCTTGGATACTTTTATGTCCCGTGTTTGGGTCCTGGGTCCTGAATTTTCCCTGAAATGCTAGGCCATATATTTATGTAATTTAATAGTCCTTATATTCTACCCTGCTCAGGTTTTATATTTGTAGAGTTATATTCTGTGTATTCTTCCAAACCTCCTGCTGATTAAGTATCCTGGGCCTTTATTGTAGGAAGTGTGGTCCTAACAAGCTGTGTTTTCTGTTCTAGTAACTCTCTGACCTGGTATGGTGAAGAATCCTATATCCAGAGCCTGGAACCAGGGGCTAAGGTAGTGATCTGGGGCTCAGGGCACTGGGGCCTAGAACATTGGGAGATCACAATAGAAAGATGACGGGTGCAGCTGGACTGAACAGAGATGATCCAGGTGAAGGGAGGGACTACCATTTGTATGGGTGGAGCTTTGGGCACTTGATAACCTATTCCACCTATACTCATTCTTGTCTCTTCCCCCAACTTGTCAGTGCTTTGCAGTACGCTCCCTGGGTTGGGTAGAAGTACCGGAAGAGGATCTGGCACCAGGGAAGAGCAGTATTGCAGTCAATAACTGTATCCAGCAGCTGGCTCAGACGTGCAACCGGAGCCAGCCCCCAGATGGTGCTTGGGGTGAGGTGGGTTGTTTTGTATCACAGAGGGTTCAATGTATGGTCCAACAGAGATAGTTGTCCCAGAATTACTTATTCTTGGTGACAGTTACTGCCTGTTCTTCATGACAATCACCTTTATCTGATATCTGGGTTGACCTCTATCCTTGGCAGGGCCAGAACATGCTGATGATCCTGAAGAAAGATGCCATGAGTCTGGTGAATCCCCTGGACCACAGTCTGATCCACTGCCAGCCTCTGGTGCACATCCGTGTATGGGGCGTGGGCAGCTCCAAGGGCCGGTGAGGACTTCTGCATCCCCCAAGCAAGAGCTGCTTCTCCCTCCCCCTGCAGGCTGTGATACCGCTGATCCCTGGTACTTGAACCTGGACACAGATCCTGATATGAACCCAGCACTGCCTCCCCTGCCTGGTCCAGCTCTGGTTGGGGAGGGTGGGCCAGCTCCACAGGGACAGATAGGGGAGAGGCTTTGAGGCTGGGCTGATTCTCTCCTGTGCTCCCACATGCTTCTGGAACAGTGACAGGTATGTGACAACCATGTACCTTGAACCCTAGCTCTAATTTCTCTACCCCATCCTTGTGCCTAGGTCATTAAAAGCCCCTTATAGGTATTATAGGTCCTTGCCCCTAACCAGCTCTACCACAGTCCCATTTCTGCCTCTGCCAGGGACTTTGCTTTTGTGGCGGGGGACAAAGACAGCTGTATGCTCAAGTGTCATGTATTTCGCTGTGATGTTCCTGCCAAGGCTATTGCAAGTGCTCTACATGGGCTCTGTGCCCAGGTAAGGACAGGGGCAGGGAATGTAAATATGGAGGGCTGGAACTTCTAAGGTAGTTGCCTCCCTCTCCTGACCCTGGGCCTTATGCTGACCACATTGTGTTTTAGATCTTGTCAGAACGAGTTGGGATCAATGGTGATGGTGCTTGCTGCTCCCCAGACCCCATCTCTCCTGAAGACCTTCCTCGACAAGGTATGGGAGGAAATTGCTGTGCTGTAGAGTCAAGCTGCTTTGGTGAAAGATGAGAGTGGAGGGGAGGAATATTTGCTGGTTATTTAACATTTCCTTCAAGATGTGTCTGATGCCAGGGATCTGATCTCAGGGTTCCCAAACCCTGAATTAGAGAAGCATCCATAAACTCTCTTCTACTTGGAACAGCTCTGGCATGGGTCCTGGCCTTTTCAGTAGGGAGGGGAAACAGAGTTCCCTGGCCAACTTGGTGTGTATATTTCAGTGGAGCTGCTGGATGCAGTGAGCCAAGCTGCTCAGAAGTATGAGGCACTATACATGGGGATCCTTCCAGTCACCAAAGCCATGGGTGAGGATGGGGCTGGGAGAGCTGGATGGGCTGGGCTACACAGGTCAAGGGGAAGGTGGGTGAGCTGGGATCTATCACCCTTTCTCTGATTCCTCCCATGGCCTTACGTATCCTTGGATGTACTGGCTTTCCTAACTTAGAATTCTGAGTCCAGTCTGTGCTATTGTCTTCCCATCTTTCTCAATCCCAAGTCAGTAAGAGGGGACCAAGATATCCTTTGAAAACCTTTTTTAAAAAAAAAATTTGTTAACTACTGGGAGATACCACTGTGGGCATGTCCTTCCAGGCATGGATGTACTGAACGAGGCCATTGGTACCCTCACCGCCCGGGGGGACCGGAACACTTGGGTTCCTGCCACGCTCAGTGTATCTGACTCTGTCATGACTGCACACCCGATTCAGGTACCAGAAAAGGATGAAGTTGGTGGAGGGCGAGCAGGGGGGGCCATTGCCTGTGAAGAGAGTGGGTCCAGCCAGCACTTGGCCCTTTAGTGACTAGGTGGGGTGTGGGCAGGCAGAAGCTGGTGCAGAAGAGGAGCCACTCTGGCAGTGCCCTGTGCGCCTTGTGACCTTTATTGGTGTTGGCCGTGACCCACATACCTTTGGCCTCATCGCTGACCTTGGCCATCAGAGCTTCCAGTGTGCAGCCTTCTGGTGCCAGCCCCATGCTGGGGGACTCTCTGAAGCTGTGCAGGCTGCCTGTATGGTGAGTTCAGGCTGGGGATAGGTGGGAAGGGTGGTATTGATTTGCTGCTGCTCTGTACTAGGGACTGAGCTCAATGAAGATCAGTAGCCAATGACCACAAGCCAGTAATCCTAGTGCCCACTGGTTCACAAATATTTTGACCCTCATTCTGTTTTTAGTCAGTTGTGGTTATATCCCAATGTTTAGGCCGGGATGTTTTACATAGTAATTACCATGCCTGCTTTTCTTAGAGCATGAGGATCCCTGACAGGGCTAATGCATACATTTCAGTCATGCATGTGGAGTTGGGTAAGGGCTTTGCCTACATGATTGGCATTGTCTTTCCTAATCTCATTAAGTTATTTCTTGGCATCTGTGGTCATTCAGATGTGATGCTTAAGCTCCATTAGTTCAGTTCACTTACTCATTGAACAAATGTGAGTGCATACTAAAGGCACCATACTTGGCCCCAGGAATTCAGCAGTATAGAAGGCACAGTCTTTGCCTTTACAGAGCACTTAGGATAAAGCAGAAACACACCAGAAAGTTGTACACCATATGATGATGGAAGAGATGCCTGTTCAGGGATCAGGAAGCCTACGTGTAAGAGGTGACAGAAAATTGAAAGGCTCCGAGAGGAAGTTAGCTAGGTGAAGGGGAGTAGAAGGGGAGTAGAGTAAGTATGCCAAGCACAGTTGTGAGAGTGAGAGATGTTAGTGGATTCGAGTATCTGAAAGAATCTAGTGTATATGGTATGCAGGGACGATGTAATGAGAGAAGAGGGCAGAAGGAATGGCAGAAACCTTGTTGTGGAAAACCTTACAGGTCAGAGTGATGTTCATTTTGTCCTGAGATGCTAGGAAGCATTGAAGGATTTTGAACATGACAATGAAGTCAGATTTGTGGATTAGGACAATTTATGCTATAATGAGAGTGACAGATTAAGAAAACACAAGTTAGGAGGCAGGAAAGTGATTTAGGACCCAAGTAGTTCAAGTGAGATACAATTGGTCAGTTGGATTGCCTAGTGAATCTGCTTTGCTAGGAACTAGTCTGCTCCAGGGAGAGATGGAGCAGAGGCAGGGTTGTGGAAGGCGAGGTCCAGCGTACAGGCTTTACAGTCAAAACTAGGTTTGAAAAATAAGTCTACTATTTCATGGCTGTGATTTTGGGTAAATCATTTATTTTCTGTGAGTCTCAGTGTCCTCGCTTGCAAACTGGGCATAATTCCTCATAAATAATTGAATTAGGTTAAATTATTGTACAAAAAGCAAAGTCTTTAGCTCTCCTTAAGTGCTCAGTAAATGTGAAGATCTGTGTTTTATATGGTGAGCTATCTGGAAGTACCTATTGGATCTATTGATGTGCCAACTATAGCCTTTTATCAGACAGAAACCTTGGCTAGCTTGCTGCCCTGCAGAAACTTTCAGAGAATTCAGGGGCAGACTGTAGCCAGATGCTTACCTTCCCCTTCTCCCTAGGTTCAATACCAGAAGTGTCTTGTGGCCTCTGCAGCTCGAGGCAAAGCCTGGGGTGCTCAGGCCCGTGCCCGCCTGCGGCTCAAGCGGACCACCTCCATGGACTCCCCAGGAGGTCCCTTGCCTCTCCCTCTACTCAAAGGAGGGGTTGGAGGTGCAGGGGCTGCCCCTCGAAAGCGGGGTGTCTTCTCTTTTCTTGATGCCTTTCGGCTGAAACCCTCTCTCCTCCATATGCCCTAAAGTGGTATTAAAGGGCTGGGGAAGGAGGCTCTGAATCTATGCCCATCTGTGGCCCTCTATTCCCAGGGTCCTGCAGCCTCTCACATGTCTTCTTACCCTAATCATCCTCTACCTTCTATTTATTTCCCAGTTTGTTACTTATATCAGTGATTGAGAGGACCTGCACTACAACTTAGGCCCCTGGCTCCTATCTCCTTTCCTTGGGTCCTTGCATTCCTTGCCCCTGTCCAGCCCTGGGCAATTGGCTCTACCTCAGCAACACTTTATAGCAAAATCAGTGCAAATAAAAATCCCTCAGTGACCTCACTAAGTGTGAGTATATTGGACCTGGGACAGGGTTGGGGGCTAACATCTTGTGTGAAGTGTGTGGTGTTGGTGGCTGCCTGTAGTCACACAAGGGTGTGGATATGATGCAAGTCTGACCTCAATTCATTAAGCATTTTTCAGGTATCTGTATTAGGCATTAAGTTGGGCATTGGGAAAGTACTAGTCAGGGTTCTACCTTGAGAGTCCGATTATTGAGATGAAGAGGAGTGAAATGAGATAGAACACAGTATGTGGGACAACTAGAAAATCTCAGGGTTTTGTGAGCTCTGGTGACACTTTAAAGTAGCCTAAGGCATTACAGAAGATTTCTGCAGAACTGGGGATTGAACTCAGGCCCTTGAACTTGCCAGGCAAGCACTTAGTCTACTGAGCTATCTCCCTGACCCCTACAGAAGAGTTTTTGAAGAGGCGACATCTAACTATTGAGGGAAGATGAGAACTAGTTAGTAAGTCTAGAGGGCAGTGGACAGAGGTGAGGCTCTAAAAGGCGGGGCTCGCCAGATCAGAGGATCACGCATGGGAGTAGGAATTTTTTTTGACTTGAACTTGCACCTTAGAACAAGTAGGAAAAATTGGACAGTGATTGGCCCAGGGCTGTAGAAGCATTAGCTCCTTGGAAAAACATGCCCGCTTGGTGCCTTGTGATCAGCACTCTATGGATCATTAGCTGAAGGAGATACCTAGTCCCGTAGGGAGGTGGTGCGGCTTCAGACAGCGGCCGTGAAGGATCTGCCAGCTTCCAGCGCTCCAAGCCCGCGGGCTGGTCGCGAGAGCAGAGTGGCCGCCCCGGAAGTGACGTACTGCCCCGCTGGCGTTGCGGAAGTGGAGATGGCGGAGCTTTACGTGAAGCCGGGTGAGAGTGCGGCTGGCCGGGTTGGGACTCACCGTTTACCTCCCTGAACCGCGATACAACCTTTGGCGGCAGAGTCTCGGTCTTCTTTACACCTGCCCTCATCTCTGCAGGCAACAAGGAACGAGGCTGGAACGACCCGCCGCAGTTCTCTTACGGGCTACAGACCCAGACTGGTGGACCCAAGCGCACGCCGCTCACTAAGAGGGTCGCCGCCCCCCAGGATGGATCCCCTAGAGGTGCGTGGGGTCCCTACGCGCCGAGGCCCACAGAATATGGGCGGTCCCAGGGTCAAGCTTGTTTCCAGCACCTGTTTTTCTCCTCCCGAACTCCAGAAGAGGTTGGGTCCTCAGGAAGGGGGTCAGAGCCAGGAGCTTTTCCGAGTTTTCCTTCTGCTACTCAGGTCAATAAGCGGACTTTTGCATTTAAAAAGTACCGTTTTCATCCTATGTGATCTCATAACACTATGCCCAAGCTATTTACATTACTTAGAATTTCTTGTCCAACCCAGACCTCTTCCCAAAATCCCATAGTGTACATGTGCGTTTTTGTGTCCTCACTTGGGTGTGTAATAAACACCTCATATTTAGTTTATTTATTTATTTTTTTTGGCGGAACCGGGGCTTGAACTCAGGCTCTTGCGCTTGCCAGGGAAGCGCTTACTCCACTGAGCCATCTCCCCGGCCCAACACCTCATATTTAACATGCCATTTTTTCATTCATTATCTTTTACTAAGCATTTATTAAGAGGGCAAACTAAACAGACAAATGGCCTGTTTCTATGAAATCTATACTGTAGCACTGAATATAGATAAATTGGTGGCAGGGCTTGTAGAGAAGTAAAACCGGGCGATGTGTTATTTTAATTTTTATTTATTTGGTACAGGGTCTCATAACGCAGCTCCTATTCATAGTGCTCCTCCTGTTCTCAGCCTCCCTGGCGCTGGGATTACAGGTGTGTGCCACCATGCCCGGTGGGGGAGGGGCAGCTCAGCAGGGCTTGCATAGCATGTGATACAGGGCATTGAACCCCAGTCCGTATACTTGCCTAAGCAGGCACTTAGTCCACTGAGCTCTCACTAGCCCTAGGGCAATGTGTTATACTAGAGGAGTTGACATTTGAGATCTACATGATTAAATCAACCAAGCAAAAATCCCAGCACTCTGAGAAGGCTGACGCAGGAGAAACACAGGTCCTGTCTGGGTAACAGAATGACTCTGAGATCCTGTCTCAAAATAAAAATTTAAAAACAACTGGGGGTGGCTGGCCATGGTGGTGCACATCTGTAATTCCAGCACTCAGGAGGCTGAGACAGTAGGATAGCTGTGAGTTTGAGGCCATCCTGGGCTCCATAGTGAGTTCAAGGACAGCCTGAATTACAGAGCCAGTCTCAAAAAAAAGCCAACCAAAAACCAACCAACAAACAAAAACCAGGACAAAAGGCTGGAATGTATGTAGTTCAGGACAAAGGCCCTAGATTCAACCCCCCTCTCTCCCCTAAAGATCAGGTTCAAGAGCATTTCAGGCATAAGAAACAGCTAATGCTAAGGTCTTAAAGACTGTTGGCTAGTTCAGAGACTGAAGAAATAGAATGGCTACAGTGTAGTAAGTTATGCCAAGATGCAGAGTTTTATTTTAATTTATTTAAAGTTGAAAGGTACTGGAAAAGTTAAAGGTTGCCTGTTCATTCCCCACCCTTGAATTGCCCAGGCCAGTAAGTGAGCTGTAGTCTACTGAAAGGGACTTGGGCTTCATTTTTTTAGCAGTCTTCCATCCTTTTCCCCTGCAAAGGAATGATGCAGGGTAGTGGCAGCAAACCTGTGTCATGTGTGCTGCAGTGGGGCTGTATCACTTAAAGCTTTAAAAGATTATGGGACCATTAAATTTGGTAGGCATTGCAGTTGTTAAGATGACCTTAATAAGCAGTCTCTGTGGATTTGGTGAAAACAAAGTCAGCAGGAATGAGCAGAAGCTAATGTGAAAAATGCAGAGTAATTATTGACCATTCAGGAAATTTTGTTACATAGAGGATCTGAAAGTGAAATAATGTAAAGTAAGGGAGGGTTATTTTGGGCAGCACTGTATATATACTGCAGCATGTTTATGTGCTGATGATTCAGTAGACAGCCAGAACTAATGATTTGGGAGAAAAGGGCTAATTGCAGGAGGGAGGCCTAAGGAAGACAGGAGAGGCTGGTTTGTGACTACAGTTGGTGAGATGGCTTTCGAGAGCAGCAGGAACCTTTCATCTATAATGGGTGGGGCTGGGGAGGGAGTAGCCAGAGATGTAGTTGGGTTAGTAGAACCAGTGGCGGAAAGATGAGAGTTCCTGTTTGATGACCAGTATTTTTGCAATGAAATATGAGGCAGTATAGATGTGAAAAAACAGTAGAAAGAAGATGAAAAAATAATTATGAAGAGTGGGAAAATGTAGTGTGGTGCACCTTTTAAAATCTGGCCATGGGGCTGGCGAGATGGCTCAGTGGTCTAAAGCACCTACTTGGAACAAGCTTGGCAAAGTAAAGGGACCGCGGTTCGATCCCCCAGCGCCACATGCCAGCCAGCCTCGCCCCCTGGTGGGCTGAGCTGGCCCCCCCCCCCCACACTCTAAATAAATAAATGTTAAAATCTGGCCATGGAAAGTGTTAAAGTATAAAGTATAACAGCATGGTTTTTTCCTACAACTGCAAGCACTAGTCTGAGTAGTAGAATGGCTTAATAGAGAGACTGGAAGAGAGTAAGCAAGAGAGAAAGTGAAGGATGGAGGAAAGAGAAAGAGAGTAAGAGTGAGTGATTTAGTATCACATCAAGTTTGAAGCCAGACTGGGCTACATAGTTCATGGCCAGCCTGAACTACATAGCAATACCCTGTCTTAGAGAGAAAGTGTTTATAAAGGACTGATTTTTATTTCCCCACAAAATCTGAATAGTTGAGCTGGAAGAAGGAATGATCAAATTTTGGAGGTGCTACAGTACTATGAGCAAAACAAAGGGAAATGAAAGGTAGGACACAGAGATCATAGAGAAATAACAAGTCAGGTAATCAAGAGGCCAGATGATTAACGCATTAATTATCCTTGCAGATGATGATGCCTAGAAGGTTTTTTTTTGGTACCAGGAACCAAACCCTGGACCTCATACTTGCCAGGCAGCCACTGCACTCCTGAGCTATAGCCCTGGCCCACCTAAAAGTTCTGAACTTTCCTCTTCCAGTCTTTCTCAGTCACTGACATCAGAAAATAAGTCATCTTGACTTCTCTCCCTCACCCCCAACCACCACATCCTGTGGTACCACACTCCTCCTACGTAAAATCTCCGAAAATTTGTGATCGAAATTTGTGATCCCCCTGCCATAGTCTTCTGGAATATGAGAATGTAAGCATGTACTACCACACCTGGCTTTCTCCCAGGACTTCTGATATGCTAGCACTCTCCCACCAAAGTACATCCTAGCCCCCCCCCTTTTTTTTTTAGAGGGGGGTTGTCTTACTAAGTTGCCTAGGTTTTCCTTGAACTTGTGATCACTATGCTTCAGCCTTTAAAAAATTATTTAAAAAAAAATTTAATTATTTATTTGGTACAGGGTCTTGCTACACAGCTCCAACTTGTAATGAGCCTCCTGTCTCAGGCTCACCAGTGCTAGGATTACAGGCGTGTACTAACATGCCCACTTTTGTTGGCCGGCACGGTCTACCCAGGGCTCTGGGGCCTGCACAGCCTGTGGTACGGGGGATCAGACCTGGGTCCTTGTGCTTGTCAGGCAGGCACTTAGACCACCCAGCTATCTCCCCAGTCCCACTCAGCCTCTTTATTTTTATTTTTATTTTATTTTTCAGCCTCTTAAATAGTTGTAATTACAGATCTGTACCACTGTACCCAGTTTGACACACACTTGAATGAAATGAGTTACCCCATAGTCGTCCTGCTTAGAAATGAGTTTAGAATTGTTTCTTATCTGCTTAAGCCATTTTGCTTTATCTTTTCAGTTGCTACCTCAGAGACTTCTGGGCCCCCTCCAATGGGGCCTCCACCTCCTTCAAGTAAGGCTCCTAGGCTCCCACCTGTAGGGAGCTGCCCTGCCTCCAGTGTGGAACCCATGGATTTCCCAGTCATTGAATCTGAGGCTTTGATAGAGGATGTGCTAAGACCTTTGGAACAAGCATTGGAGGATTGCCGTGGCCATACAAGGGTAAGACCTGGCACTCTGGGGGCAGAGAGGAATCCTATCCACAGCCAAAAGTAGGTATGGCTCCCAAAGGGAGACCCTGTGGGCAGTGGCTTTTAATTTTTTACAGTTAGGAAGGAGCCCCTTCAGAATCTGCTAAGGATTTCCCAAGAAGATGAACATAAGATTTCAAAAGTTCATAGATCTTCTCATGTCAGTCATAGAGGCTTATAGGAGTAAGATAAATTGAGCTCCCATTAGTAAAAATAGAAGTTTGATTTTCTATACGGCCAGGTCATACAGAGCATACACTGCTAATTTGGTTTAGAGAATCTGTATTTGTTCAGTGAGGGAGAGAATAAATTACTCAGTGTTTTCTAAGCGCTCTGGAAGCAAGAGATAAGGAAAGGGGAAGTACCACTGAAATTTTACCTTTTTGATTTAAAGTTTCCTTATTTGCAAAGTAGCATGATAAGCTTCTCAGAAGTCACTGATATTTAAAAATTCTACCTATTATTTGCTGTTTTTCTTGGGAGGAAATCCATAAACTTCCATCAGGTTCTCAGTAAGTACCTCTAACCTTTGTGTAAAGAATCAGAACTCTAGCATAGAGAGCCAAGCTAGAGAAAGTAGCTGCTTCCTAAGAGGTGCCGACTTCCCATCGCCCTCTTGGGCTACAAGCATTAAGTGAAGGGACTTTGGTCTTAGAAACAGGTATGTGATGACATCAGCAGACGACTGGCATTGCTTCAAGAACAATGGGCCGGAGGAAAGTTGTCAACTCCTGTAAAGAAGAGGATGGCACTACTGGTGCAAGGTATGGGTGGGTTCCTTGATATATTGGAAGTCCCTTGTACTGCCATAGCTGGCTGAGCTGAACAGGCAATGCAGATGTGACTTACTGGGAGGAGAGGCATGGAAGCTACTACTCTTTTATCCCAGTCTGCTTGCTCAAGTTTTCTCTCCTCAGAGCTTTCAAGCCATCAGTGGGATGCAGCAGATGACATCCACCGCTCACTCATGGTTGACCATGTGACTGAGGTCAGTCAGTGGATGGTGGGAGTTAAAAGATTAATTGCAGAAAAAAGGAGTCTGTCTTCAGAGGAAGAGACAAATGAAGAGAAATCTGAAGGAGCAGCTGAGGACCAGACCATTCTAGGCTTCCAAGAGGCTCTGTAAACCTGCAGATTCCCCAGACTCACACCATCTGCTAGGCCTTGGTGCGGGAGGTCTTCTCACTTGGCTCCCTTTTACCACCTGAGAGAATGTCCCATTGGGCCTGGGCTATAAGGAAGTCACTTGTAACTACAACATGCACTTCAATAAAAACTGTCTCAGTGGTGGGCACTGGGAAGGAAGCTGGTTCCTTTTGCTGTTAACTGTCCCATACCCTGTGAATTTCTGTTCTCTCTACTCAATGGAAGCCTCGCTGGGGTTGGCCATATTGGCCTCATTCTCAATGATCTTCCTGTTTCAGCCTTCTGAGTAGTAGGATTATATGCATGAGCTATCACACCCAGCCAAGATTCCTTTTTGCACTGTATCATCTTTGAGGTATATAGATGCTAGAGTAAAATTAGTGTGGGATTATCTATTGTATAAATTTGGCAGGGGGAAGGGTTGAGACAGTGTTATTGTGCAGTTCAGGCTGGCTTTGAACTCACTACTTGTCTTTAAACTTGCAGTGATCTTCTTACAGACATGCACCACCATGCCCAGTGCCTGCTATATAAATTGAAGGAGAAAAATACCACAGTACTGTGATTTGGAATCATGACTGTTTATCTGACCAAGCAAGCTGCTAATTTTGAGTGCCAGTGTGGGCCCTAATGTTGCAACTCTGAACATAACTTGGTTGGGGGGTGGTCATGATGAGCTATGCTGTGAGAAGGAAGGGTACAGGCTTTTCAGTGTTAGAACGAGAATTGGTACCAAAAGGAAAGAGGCACCGGCAAGGGGAGACAGGATGTCCATATCCTAGGACAACACCTTTCCTTCAGGAGTCCTGCTTAAGAATGGATAGAAGAGGGGCCACAGGGAAAAGGAGGCCTAATTCCAGGAAGGCTGCTTCCTCAAGAGAAACAGCAGCTGGAAGGACAGGCTATTGTTGTTTGGTTTGGCAACACCTATAGCTTGCCTTAGGCAATAATTACTACTAGAAGTAGGCCCAGGGGAAACTGGGAACAGATCAGAGTCCTCTTAACTAGGTCTACCGAGGCCCTCAGCTTTGTGGCTGAGGTGAGGTCAACATTGAGAACAATGGAGCCAAGACATTTCTTTGAATGTTTACTAAGCAGCCCAAAAGTGACACACACTCTCCCCTAGTCCCAGGCCTGAGCATGGAGCGCTGGGGTTTAGGGTGAGGACCCACAGACCAAAGAGAGCCAAGGGCCTGGCAAGTTGCCTGCTCCCATCTCTGGTCTAGCTGCCTTAGAAATAAAGGAGGTCCAGAACCAAGTCATCCCTTTCCCGATTAGATGAGGCCCCAGGAAGAGGTGGTGGCAGCAGCGGCATGAGGGATCCCTCTATAACTCCGTACACATGGTCATCTGTACAGGGTTAGATGTCCATTTCAAACTGTGCATCATCTGGGGAGAGAAAAGGCAAGGCTAGTTGCTGGACTGAATATCTGCAGGCCCAGCAGAAAGCCTGCCTGGAATAAAACTCCCACTCTACAAGGGCATTTAAACTCAAGGGCTGGGTATTTCTTAATTTGAGTTCTTGCTTTTCTTACCGAGTATCTCTTCCTCTGTCTCCTTCTGCTCCTTCAGCAACTCCAGCTTGGAGGGTGGGACAGTTGGAGTTGTGACCCCGGGAATCTGAGGGAGGCAGCAGGGGGGTGTCCGGGCAATGGGTGAGTTCTTGCATTCCAGCAGGAACTTTCTGTCGTAGATGATCCTGGTGCCTGTTAAGTGGTAGGGGCTGATGTAAGAGTCACAGAATACGATACACAGGTGACTAGGGTCCTTTTGGGAACTGGCAGTTCTGGTTGTGTGTCGCATTGGCTTGTGTATTAAAAGGTGGCGCATACCTGTAATCCCAGCACTGGGGAGGCTGAAAATAGGATCACTACCAATCTGAGCTGCATAAGACCCTGTACCAAATACATTTAAAAAAAAAAAATTTGCTCTCTAGTCCAGCCAGGATCTTTTTTTTTTTTTTTTTTTTGTGGAACCGGGGATTGAACTCAGGCCCTTGCACTTTCCAGGGAAGCACTTATTCCACTGAGCCATCTCGCTGGCCCCCCAGCCAGAATCTTAACAAGGGTCTTACAAGTCTGTCCAGCCCTGACAATCTCAGGCCTAGCCAGGTACCTAAGCACCATAAAGCAAGTAGAGCATTGCAGTCATCCAGGCAGAGGCAGTTTCAGGTCTCATTTCTTAGAGGAGCACTAAACTGAGCTCAGGTAATGTAAGCTGCTTCTCTAATGTTCTGGAGCTTCCTTGCTTTCCTCACTAAAAAGCCAACTAGTTAAGTGTTTAGTCCAGGGCTGCCACCTAGGCTCTTAGCTCCTGCTGCACGGAGGTGCCCATGGTCGTTTACCCTGTGAAACTCTACAACATGCTGTTCTTATTCTGACCCCTCCCAAGTCCTATAAGCCTCAGCCTAGCCAAAGAGGAACTCGGCCAGCACAGTGTCATCAAAGGGCCCCTCCCCTCCACTCACGTGGCCGGAACCTGGGTTAGGAGCCCAGCAGCTCACGATCCGAGGCTGCTGGCGCAGGCAAGTAGCCACTAGGCGGCCGCACACATTGCTCAAGCCCCTTACCCCAACTGCACAAGCGGCTTCTGAACATATAGGGCTTATTGAGACATTTGGTAGGCCCCTCAGCCCCTACTCCCAAGACAAATACAGTAAAGAAGCATTTGCAAGGCATCTAGAACCCAAGCTACAGTAATTATAGCTTAAGAGTCACCCGGAAGGCAGGATGAAAGCACTGCTGAATCACTTTAAGGTTTTGGGGAACTTAGTTTAGGCTTCAGACATTCTCCCCAAAGCTATAACCTCCAGAGGGTCCACAGACTAGTCCCCCGCCTAGCAAAAGCACGCATGACCCAGCCCCTCCCGCTGACCTCCTGGGGTCGTGGCATACAACGTGCCCCCCGGCGTGGTGCTGTAGAAGTCAGGCAGCCGGTCCCGACCCCCTGGAATAGGGCAGCTCGTGGACGTGGACATTGCGAGCGATAGGAGCAGGAAAGAAACCAGCTGGTGCTGCAGACGAGGGGCACTGCTTTGAGTCCCAGGCGGACTCCACCGACCACGTGCGGTGAAGGCAACAACACTACGACGACGTCACGCCCGGGGCGGGTCAACCGCCGTCACTCAGTACGACGGTCCCGCCTACTGGCTAGCAAGTAAAACCCTGATCTGAGGAAAAGCAGCTTTTAGACTTTCCCACCAGCTTTTAGATTTTCCTGGTCCAGCACTTGACAGTCTGCCTCTGACTGCTAAAGCAGGTTGGCCGGTTACCGCTTATACTTTGGTGCTGGCACAGCCGACCTTGCTATGCTGTATTAATTCACCCATTCTTTTTAAGCACTATCAATTGACAGCGAAGCAAGTAAGCCAAGAGAGGTAAGTATCTGTTCAAAGTCCCACATGTAGGAGGGGAGGAAACTGAGATTCAGTATTATCTGATTCCACAGTCTAGACCCTTCAGCACAGCATATGCTGTCTCCTATAAACACTGGGCCAGGGAGTGTAGCTCAGTGGTGGAAGGCTTGTCTAACATGTGGCGGACCCTGTGGTTGATCTCTCTAAGTCCCCAGCACCGCAGTAAACAGACAGTTGAAATAAGGATGAAAAGTACTTTGATGACCTGAGCACAGTGGAAAGGTCACAAGAGTACAAAGGCTTTCTGAAAAAATGATACTTTGAATAATTAAAGGATGATTAAAAGCGGAGGGATAGGAGAGGGTGCAGCTGTGAGACCGAGCGTGGAGAGGTCTGCCACTAACATCAAACTAAGGAAGGGCAGGGTTGCATCTAGGAAGATCAGAAAGTACTGCCTCTCCCCTCCCATGTAGGTACAGTGATATGACAGGCTAAAAGAGAGAATTAACTAGTAAGTCTAGTAAATGTAAAACATTGAAAATCTTGATTTTTATCCAGTTGTCTTTTTGTGTGTGTGTGTGTGGGGAGCACTGGGGCTTGAACTCAGGACCCTGTGCTTGCCAGGCAGGTGCTTATTCTACTGAGCTATCTCCCCAGCCCTATCCAGTTGTCCTCTACAGCTTCCTCAAAATCAGCAGTCGCCTCCCCATATCCAAATTAAAGACCACCTGCCTGTATGCATGCATTATGAATATTACTTCAGGTCTAGCTTTGCCAGATTTTCCCTTTGTTCTGATTTTCTTGATCCTTTAAGTAAAAAATTGTTTTATGAATTAGTGCTTCTCTAACATGCATGTGAATTTTCTAGAGATCTTTTTAAGTAAGTCTGATCTAGTAGGTCTGGGTTGCTTCAGGATTTTTGCTTGAGACAGGGTCTCCCTATGTAGTTCAAGTTGACCTTGAACTTATGCTGTAGCCCAGGCTGGCCTCAGAGGCAATCCTCCTGCCTCAGCCTTCTGAGAGCTGGGATTACAGGTGCATGCCACTTCACCAAACTTTTAGGATTTTTAAATACTAAATGGTAATGTGGATGTCACACGTCCTCAGAATCACATTTCAAATGGCAAGGATATATTTTATTGTTCAAAAAAGGTAAGCAAAAAGTGGTATGGGCCTAAATGAAGTATATTAACAGTGCTGGGGGGTAGGTTTTGGGAGCCAAAAATCCTCTGATAACTCAGCTTTTAAGCAAGGTAAAGAAGTAATCTGATCAGGTGGAGAATGGGGATATGGGAAAAGCACAGTGGCTACAGGGATGGAGATAACTACATGAATCAGATACACAGAGAATGACAAAGTGGTTTATTAAAGGACAGTGGTGGTGAACTTACATGATATGTGCTGCAGCAGCGTATTTATCATTGAAAGTTCTAAAAGGTTGACCATCACTGCCCTAGGATATTCCCAATCTTTGTAGCTACAATATTAATATAAGGCTTCAGGCAAGTACAGGTTAGTGGTAAAGCACTTGACTTTACTCGTTCACAGAACCACAAAAAATTGTTTAAAACATTAATGCAATAGGGAAGGCAAGAAGGGGATATCATGTTGGGGACTAAATAATCGGTATGGAATGCCCAGATGAGTATAGTAAGGAGCTAGCTAATACTAACCTGAAGTGCAGGAGGAAGAACTAGGCGAGCGCTTCAGATTTGAATGGAATAAAAGTCAAGAATATGGGATGAAATCATCTGGGGAGCAGGTACAGTGGAAGAGGCCAGAGGACATCAATACGTACTAAAGTAAGAAGATTCACTAAAGTATACTCAGAAGAAAACAGAAATACAGCTAGGTTTTCAAGAAGGATCCATGTGGGAGTAGGCCTTTCTTTTATGAGTCTACTACAAAATAACAGTAGCAGTTACTACTGTTACTACTATAATGAATACTGCTTGCAACTGGCTTTTTTGGAGATATACTGTGAAAGGGCCAGGGAACTTGCAAACAGGTAGCTTAGAGAGAAAGCTAGACTCATCATCCATGCAATGTGGATCAAGGAATAAGTCTGGACTAGCATAAAACTAAATATCCACAGATATAGAAACTTTAAAAATACACCCATGCCTAGCTTTGCTTCATCTCTGCCACTAGACAAATTGCTTTGAACTCAAACCATCAAGATAAACAAGTGAAAAGAAATCAGAACATAGGTTTGCAGTAAGTTTTATGCTCTTCTTTTCTAAAACAGGCCTCAAAGCCCAGGTTTATTTTCTCTTAGAGGCGCTCTTAACACACTGAAGATTTTTGACACTTAACACCACCTTTGTTCTAATTCACTTCCTACAGGAGTCGGTGAAGGTGAAGGCAGCTGCCTCTTTGTAAATGACAAGTTATTAAGGGTGAAGAGAAAACATAGTAGTGTTACCAGAGGCCCTCACCCTAGGACAGGGTTCACAGGGGTAATGTCATGACCAGCTGTACTTCTTGGTAGAAGTGCTTCTCACTAGTCAGAGGACGAGATGTTCAGAAGCTGTTTTCCTCTTTCTGGGTTGACAAAGTGGTTCAAAGGTCTTCAACAGTGGAACAAAACCATGCACACAAAGTATGCTCTCTTTGGCCTGAAACTATCATAGGATCTGTTTTTCCCTTTGTACAGGATAACTCAAACTAAGGATGGTCCCCTTGTGCACTAGGCTGGAGGGTTAGAAGAAGGGTTTGGCCACAATCTTCACAAACAGATTGAAACTATTTCCAAGCCCTGAGATTTCTTACCTCTGGTTAGGAGAGGCCATCATTGGTTGTCCAACTCTCTTCTTCGATCTGGTTAGTTGAGGTGATGGGATTTCCCCTTTGAGAGCAGGGACTGAAGAAAGCAGACTGGCCTATAAAAGGGCAAGTCAGCACACTGTAGCCACAACAGGTTTAAAGGATCTCACAACATCAGTAATTTTATTGGTGGAGGAATTTTAACACGTTGAGGACTACCTGAAACAGTTGATCCAGAAAACTTGATGATAGTTTTATTCCTTGAAAGGGCACCTACTCTCATGGGGTCTGACCTGTGCCTTGGCAGATGGTTCTTAATGATTTGAGGGCTCACTATACATGTGCAAAGTTTTCTTCTGCCTCCAATAAAATCTCAAAACAACTCCAGTTCTCAAAATAGCACTCTTGATTCTATATCAGAACCAAACCATAGCACTGTAAAAAATCTAATCGTTTCCAGTACCACATCATATATTCTCATTCATCAGAGAAGAAAATTTGTGTTTAGAACTAGAAGATTCTTCTAAGTGAAGCCCAGAAGGGTAGAACGACTTGTCTAAAAAATCATATAGCTTGAAGTGGAAGAAATGAAAATAAAATTTAAACTTCTGATTCTTGTTCGACTGTACCCATTTTGCCTCCCCCACCCCCATAACCCCTGTATATTTTGAAAGTAATTAAGTTCTTACCTCAGCTAGGTTTTATCCAATGTTCAGGTTGGTAAAATAGCAGTAAAGTAATGCCAGGAAGAGGCAGGCAGAGGAAGAAGAGATTATAGCAGGCGAAATGGGATTGGGAGTAGGCTACCAGGATCCAAACAGAAAAAAAGGAAGGCAGTGCTCGTAAGAGGGAAGGGAGGAGGGTACCCTAAAGAACTACTTCCACTGTGTAACTTCTCTTTCTGCCTATTCTCCTAGGGGTTTCCCCCTCCTTTCTCTTTATGGATTCTTATTCCTGATCTGAGAAAATTACTTGTTCTGTTGTCCTCTGGGTACAGAATATAGACTTAAGGGTTCCTTCAACAATTCAAACATTATAAATAGTTATGATAGAATAATTCTTACCCATTTGCCCCTTTGAATGATTTACTTAATACTCACTAGTGTATATTTCAAAGACAGTTTCACTAATTTTAAGTGATGATTTTTGTTACTTATAAGTGGAAATATAGACAGGTAGTGATCCCAAAGGGTCTTTATTCCCCCCAGGGGTCAGGAAGCTTCTTGAAAACATTAATCACTACAAATTCAACACCAGTGATAAAAAGTAGAAAATAAATTAGTTTAAGGAATGTTTATGTCTCTCACAGAACAAACATGATATGTCTGATCTGGTGCTTGCTTTAGGACCTAGATAGAGAAAATTAAGAATTCATGTTGGTATGAGAGTAGAAAAGTGGTGCTGCTTATACAGTACTGTATGTTAGTATGTATGTATGTATGTATCCATCCTTCTTTGACTACTATCAGCCTCAAATCTTATTTTTTTCTCAATATTGCTTATACATAAGACAAGGAAATTTAAATATATTAAAATACAAATAGATAGATGACTGTATTTTCTGTGGGATAGTTTTACCTTCTCTATTACATCAGCTTCTTTGAACACCCTTTATTTGGCCAATCCATTCCAGTGTTCCTGTGGTTAGTTTGTTAAACATATTGGCTCTTCATACTTGGGGCCATGGAACTAAGCCCAGAATTAGTTACATATTTATAAACATTACTTAGAAGATTCAACAGTGCAATAGAATAACAGGAGTCATGCCCTTATGTTCCAATTCAAAATTTAAAATGCCTTTAACACATCTTTTAGATATTGTTTAAAGAGTTAGGAAGCACAAAAAGAACCTGAAGCTCATAATTTTAGCGTTCTTAAATTTGTCCAGTATTAACTAATTTAAATCTACAAGTTTTTCTTTTAATCTTTTTTTTTTTTTTTGTTATTCTTTTTTC